GGGACCCGTCGTCGCTTCGGCAGTGGTCCCGAGTGACGTCTCTCATGTCTCACTATCCTGCCTGACTAATGCACTCGAGACCGCATATATGATTCGCGGCATCCGGTTTCGGATTAGCCTGTCACTGTGGCAAGCCGCAGGACGCCTGGGCCTACAGAGAGACCATGGGTGGCTTGCGCTGCACCAACCACAGCTCCATCCACACACCCCATATCCAGTGTAAACCCGAAGGAATAAGACCGGGAGGCATGCGGATGGGAACCACGTTTCATCAACGGAGCCGGCCCACACTCCTTCACAGGCAAACACAAGCACACTGTAGTTGGGGAATCAAGCACACACAAGGCGGTGGCTGGACCGTAGTCCGCTCCACACTGAGTGCATGGAACCGCTCTTCGAGCCTACACGACCACAAGGACCGTGCATCCTGTCCCCTCCAGCAACGACCAACTGTCTCCTGGAGCCAGTATGGACGAGGTAGTGGTTACTAGACAGGTAGGCATCTTGTGAACAAGCAGATCAAGCGCAGCCACACGGGGGATAGCCCGCAACAGCCAATCACTTGAAACGACAAAGTGAAATAACATAAATCCACTAATGCGTAAAGATACGGTGGCATAACTCTTCGCTAAATTGGCATATGAAGTAATTTGGTTAGCTATGAATCCGCGATGAGGAAAAAATGTCCACAAGTTACTCAAAAATGCTACAAATGCAACATAATTGCCGAAGATAAGCGCAATTAGCGTAAGCGACGTGGCCAGCTAATTGAAGACTATTCAGATGGGCAAAACTAGACATACATACAAACATACATTGTTGGCGGCACCCGGTTTCGGATTTGCCTGTCACTGTGGCAAGCCACAGGACGCCTGCGCCTAGAGAGGGACCATGGATGGCTTGCGCTGCACTACCCACAGCTCCATCCACACACCCCATATCCAGTGTAAACCTGAAGGAATAAGACCGGGAGGCATGCGGATGGGAGCCACGTTTCATCAACGGATCCGGCCCACACTTCTTCACAAGCAAACACAAGCACACTGTAGTTGGGGAATCAAGCACACACAAGGCGGTGGCTGAACCGTAGTCCGCTCCACACTGAGTGCATGGAACCACTCTTCGAGCCTACACGACCACAAGGACCGTGCAGCCCGTCCCCTCCAGCAACGACCAACTGTCTCCTGGAGCCAGTATGAACGAGGTAGTGGGTAATAGACAGGTAGGCACGTTGTCAACATACACATCAAACGCAGCCACACCGGGGATATCAAACAACAGCCATTCACTTTAAACGACAAGGTGAAATAAAATAAGTCCAATAATGCATACAGATACGGTGACATAACTCTTCGCTAAATTAGCATATGAAGTAAGTTGGTTAGCAACGGATCCGTGATAAGTAAGAAATGTCCACAAGTTACTTAAAAATGCTACAAACGCAACAAAATTACCGAAGATAAGCGCAATTAGCGAAAGCAACCTGATCCGTTAAGAGAAGATTATTCAGGTAGGCAGAACAAACCAAATAAAGTGGAATGAAATTTATCCAGCTTATAAAGATGTAGTTTAAGTGTAAGTTGGTTTAGCCCAACTGCGGTGAAGAAGCATCAAGTATGCAAGCGTCAAGGATGCAACACCCCGTGGGGACGGGGTGTACTGTAACGATATATATATATATATATATATATATATATATATATATATATATATATATATATATATATATATATATATATATATATGCGCGGCGGTTTACGTTGACCCTTGACACCCAGGTGGCTTATTCATTTTTATTTTCGGTAGCAATCCACAGAGATGCCGATGGCCAGCATTTTTCCGCCCTCCGTTGGATATTCACCGCCAGTTACAGGAGTGAGTGGTCAGTGGCCCTATAGCCGGTCCACCTGAAAGAACCAATCTAGCGTATCTGTTTATCAGCTAACACATTTCGCCTGTTTTCCTCTTTCCGTTATTGTTTTTGCTTTGTATTTTTATTTCTCTACATACTTTATCTTAGTGACCATTGTGCCTGATGATCTGGACTTCGGAATGCTGTGCCCTTTTCCATTACTAATTTGCCAGCAGTCCATTGTTTCTTACTCGCAGAGTCCCTCCTTTGGCCCGTGGCTGAATGTACTAGGCACCTGCCTTGCAACTCGGGTGTCACGGGATTGAGTCTGCTTAGAGAACCGGGCGACCCTCGTAAAATCCCCAGCCCACGTACGACTGGTGGTAGTTACGTGGCATAGAACCGTCGGTGCGGCGTACTTTTGATCATTTTTCTATAATTCTGTGGGTTAGAACCATGAAGCTCTCCGGAGCTCTTTTTGATTCGTGCCGTTCAACTCACTTCCCACTGCTCGACTTCAGGTCTGTCCTGTTCTTGGTGTCTTTCAATCAACCACAGTGTCGGCATACGGAAGGTGAGAAGGTGAACAAGCATTGATGGAAGATGTTTCTCCGGGTGAGAAAGTCTGCAGCTTGGACGTAGTGCAGCGGTGAGAAAGAGCGTCACAGTCCAGTACAGGATCAGTGACGAGCTGAAGTGGAGGAAAATTTACTTGTAGTTAATGAACATAAGTGTCAACGAAGAAAATGAATTCGTTTGGAGGCAACCCTCCTAACACCTCCCTTTGGGATTGGATGTTCGTATGATTGGTGTCTGGAATCCTGTTGTATATGCACATGCTGCCTTCTGATTCGATCTGTCAATTTTATCAGTGTGTAATCGACTGTATGGACTGGCTCGTTAATGTCACTGGAGGCTTGGGCTTCGGCAAGAGCTCAAAAGTATCCGGTTGAATGTCAGTATGAAAATCAGGGTAGTGTGGCGTTGTTGTTTGACAGGGGTACTAACGCAACTGGTTGGCATGGCGGACCCATAGTGAGGAGTGTACATCCACATCATAGATAACCTGGTTCGTGCGGCGTACAATCAGACCCTGCGTCTACTTTTCGTTACCATCAAAATAATCCTTTACAAACACAGATTGACCAGCGTGAAAGTTGAGATTCACGGCACCTTGATGACGGTTGAAATTGTCCTCTCGCGGATACTTCGACTAATCGGTTGATGTGAGGCTATGTAATAATAATAATAATGTGTCAGCTGTAAGCCGTAACGGCGCTTCGCTGCCAGCACGACCACCACCAGTCGCGCGCGGGCCATACCGCGAGGACGCCCACCCCTACGCGGATTCGAACCGGTGACCTTATGGTTGCAAAGCAAACGTGCAGACCACTCGGCCACCGGCCGTTGATGTGAGGCTGGACGAGTAACATCGATGGGTAAGCGTAGCTTTCGGTTCATCATAGTTTCTGGGTATCCATTTGGTGTTAACATGTAACTCGGTAACAGGGTTTCGATAAATTCCGGTTTAGTCGCATCTCCTTTGAGGTGATTTGTAATTTGCTCTGCTATCTGTGGAGTTGAGGCCAACTGCCTACTTTTGCATAGGACTGGAAACGGGACATCGATGAGTCCGAGTTTTCAGTCCAATAATGTTTAGATTGGTACAGTCGGTAATATAGCATAGTCTAGAGAACTGCATATTATTGAAAAACATCACATATTAGTTCTCCAGTCAACAAGAAAGTACTAGCAGATGCATTCTGTGCATGATGGTTATTGGTTGATAATGCGAGTTTATCGATTAACTCCAAGTTGAAACGTGACAGCAATGTATTGTCCGAAGCTGTGTCAAGCTGAAGGCGGACTGGGATATCATTGACGGGAACTGATAGATACTTTCTTCTAGATCGACTTTGAAGGTTACTAGCCCAGAATTTGACTGAGGACGTTTTCTGTATGGTTTTTTTGGGCATTTCTCTGGCTGAACCGTGGACGCTCTTTTGCACGGTTGGTTTCCTGACATTTATGGAACAACAAAAGCCTTATTTGTTGTCTGAGGTTCCTTGAAAGCACAAAAGCGAGCCCAGGGCCATTTGCCACATGATCAACAAGGAGTTTGTGGCTTTTTATTGGGCTGGAGAATTATTCGTGTCAGTGCATAGACGCTGCTTGAAGCTGGTGCTCATGATTACTGCACCATGGCGGTATCGGGCTTAAGACCGAGCAGATGTTGACATTCAGTGGTGATAGATTTTGCAGTGATATCCTGTTGCTGTTAAAGTTTGGAAAGTAGTCGATTACGGACGTCCGATCCCTAGGGAGAATGAAGACCGGGAGCAATAATCAACCTTCGGTGAGTATCTTCAATTGAAACTTTTCGCACTTACGATTTACGATGCCAGCATAAGTGACGTAATCGTCTGCACCACTTTTCGCCAACTTAAGACAGTTGTACCGGACGTTAAAAATCGAAAGCTGATTGCTGGAAATCATGGACATTGTTGTGTTGTGTTTTATTGTACTGTTTCTGTACTTTCGTTTGAATCCCATGGTTTCTGATGGCATTATGTCTGTTAGCAGACTTTTGCAAATATATACGATGGCTGGAAATCTCGCGTAATTGTTCCACTATCTGCACAAAATCAAGATCTTTGGATGCAGCCCTCCTAACAAGGTCTAAGTGAATAACACTTTTAACCCTCTGTGTAACAAAGGATATGTGAGGAAATGCAGGAAGCTGCGTTTTTTGTGATGTACAATTGTTTTACTCTAAAACCATTGGCTTTCTACTTGCTGGTCCACACTGCTTTCCGGGTTGCCACCGTGCCTTAATCTATTACTTTTGACCGTGCATCACACTTTGATGCTACGGTCATTGACCGTCCACCGGTAATTCTGCCTGTCTCACACCTTGCTTTCCGCGTATTTACAGATTCTGTACTGTTGCGCTTGACAACGTTGCATTACAGCCCTGAGAAGCCGTTTCATTCACCTCCAACCTTCTTATATTTTGGCATCGGGTTGATCCCAAGTTTTTATTTACCCCATCACATCGTTTGCTAGAACTTACTCTTTTCTTCTTTTGTACCTATTCCGTTATTTTAATATCTCTCGTCATCCACGTTATTGCATACTTCTTTTCCAGCTGCAGCCACTCCTTTGAATAATGCGACCGTGACATCTGAAAGCGTTCCTGTTCCCCAGTCGTTCAACCCTGATTCTTATACTCGTGATGTACTGATCAGGGACCACTTGGTGCGCCTTAATTTTTGTCATAGTTGCGGATTTTTTCGCCCTCCACGTTCTTCCCATTGCTCGACTTGCGATAATTGCGTCGGTGAGTCCTTTTAACACTTCTCTTTACTCTCAACCTTTTTTTATTCCGGCCTCCCTGTCTCCATATTTCCTCCAATAATTGATTAGGTTTAAAGTACTCCAACTAGACAGGCATGACGCGTTCAACGCGTATTTCTGTTTTCTACGATAGGGGTCTGTTTCGTTATTCTGCGTGCTTTCTTTAAGTAACTGCACACCGCTTCTATTTCGCAATCTGTGGACCTAAAACCCTACTTATTCGTTTTAGTAATGATGGCATTATGCCTCATAATGATTTACCGGACAATTTATGCGTGGATTTTTAACTTTTCAATGGCATGAAACCGTTTGTTTTTTTCAAGCAGTAAACGAGTCTACCCAGTATTCTCCTGGTACCGCCACAGATTACGCCATGTACTCTTCTTTCTTATTGTTGCCTATTATCTGCTATTATTTGGTCGACGGTTGTAATGTTGACACCAAGGCACTCGTTTCAGTCTTTCCGTTTGTATCGCACAGATGCCATTGGTAACCACTTGTTTTCTCCTTTTTGCCCGTTTTTATGATATTTGTTTTCCATCACTCTAAGTATTCTCACTTGTGATCCCTCGTCTCCTTCAAACCTCACGGCAACGTAATTTTTAACTAACGACCATCTGTTATCGGTCCTTGCCGAACTACCTCATGGTGCCAGCCGGGCGGTTCGGGTATTTCCCGTTCCGGCGAATGGTTCGGCGGTAGTGTCCCAGGACCTAGTGGGTTTACGCTTGGCTAGCGTTCTTCCTATAAAAAGTCACGAGTATATGCTTAACAACACTACGACTTGGTGGATGTGACTCACCACTAAATAGAGTCATTGTCCCTTGTCTTCCTCGGCGATATTTTGTACCGGCAAGCAATCCGAGCATCAGATTTTGCCTTTGACTTCGGAAGTGTTGGGCACCCGGTATGGCTTTTCGCCATCCGAAATACATGAACTAAATGTTCAGTCACCGGCTCCTAATGCGTGCGGAACCCTTATGTTGCCCTCCTCTGTAGATTAGACTCTTTAGTCAATTGTTCTGGGCCGGGGTCTCCTAAACCTTAGGTCCTATGACAATCCACCTACTTCGACGTAGGCAACCGGGTAGTATCTCGCCTACTGACGAACCATGTAACTGAATTTAGCTACACTTACTGGCTCTGCTAATGGATTTCTCTACTGCTACTGCTACTATTATTTCTCAATCACACGCCACCTACCCATTTACAATTCCTTTGGGTCATCCTACCCCGCTTTCGTCTAACCCCTCGTCGATGGACAGCATCGCCTCCTCTGATGTAACTGTCGTTATACCAACCACACACCTCCAAACCGGAATAATACCATCCCATATTCTCCCCTCTCCGCTTCTTCAACCCAAAACAGTTCAATTTGGGAGAGGTCAATGTGCGTACTCTAACGCAGATTGGACTACAAACCGGTCTCTCACGCACCCTGAAATCTTTTGCAATACATGTATGTTGCTTATCTGAAACCCCACTTCAAGACCCCAACACAGTCTGCCAACTGTCATACACCTTTTTTCGCCTTTCTGGCGACATCGAGTCCACTGCAGCTGGGCAAGCTGGTGTTGGGCTTGCCCTTATTTCCAGAGCCGAAACCACCCTTCTTGATTGGATTCACATCAACAGTCACCTCCCGATTCCAAGACTTATTTCAAGTTAACAGCCATCGAGAAGACAAACGCACCTGTGCACCCATTAATTATATCCCGGAAACAATCAAATACCTACTCTATTAGAACCTCCATGACCTACTTCTGGCGGCCTCAAAATGAACATCATTGTTATGATCGGGATTTCCACGCGCATGTTGGTCGTTTGCTGCCGAGCGAGGCCATCTCCGAGGTCTGCATGGATACGATAACCTTCGCTCGGATAGTGGAGAAATGCTGCTCAGCCTTTGCTCTGACCACCAACTTTACTTATCCAACCCGAGACGCCGCTACGCTAACTGGCGTGTTCCATCATCGTAACATCAGTCGCATATTGACTACCTCGCTATAAGTCGCCGGTGGCGTGGCAGTGTTCCAGACTGCAAGTCTTATTGGTCAACCTGCATCGAATCTGATAACGCGCTGGTACTTGCGACGATACGCATGAGCTTCGGTGGCTCGCGTAAGATCACAAAACTCGTCCGAACATTGGTAAATTTGAAGACCCCCGCTACTCAAGGGGAATATCAACGGATGCTCTGTGATAATCTCACTTTCCCCCCTCCTCTTGACGTTGAGCGATATTTTCTTTTACAACAGGTTATGTTTTCTGCGCATCTGTTTACCTGTTGTCTTGTTTGTTCAACAGCTAAAACTTGGATCATGTCTACATCGTCGGAATTACTTGATCGTTGGCGGTTCCATTCTGGATTGCCGCTCGTACTGGAGTACCTGTGTCGACCCTGACCATGCCTTGGTGCGCTGTCGTTTCTCCATAAACTTTACCGGAAGGCGCACAAAGCGTCTCCCCCGATTGGCAACGGAGAAATTGTCCCAGCCCTCGGTCAGGCAAGCCTATCAAGAAGCACTGCATAGCGAACTCTCGCTGTCTTGTCCTAATGACACTGAACTTCAGTGGAATAGGATCTCGGCCACTATGCACGACGCAGGAGCATCTGTTTGTGGCACTATCAGTCGTCATCGCACCAGTCACTGGATATCCGAGAGGTCGGTGAATCTTTTGGAAGCTAGAAGACACCTCCCGGCTGGTTCTGAACACAATGTGACCAGACGGGCTATTAGGCGTGAACTAAAGCGGAGCCTGCGTGCTGACAAGGAAGCCTGGTGGACCAGTAGGGCTCAAGAAATGGAGGAGGTAGGAGCAGTAGACAATTACCGGAAGCTCTTCCAGCTAATCCGCACCACTGGTCCCAGAAAACCAGGCGTCAGTGAAACAATCAGGGACAGCGCGGGTGCGCTGATACACAATAAGGAATGCCGTATGGCTCGTTGGGCTGAGCACTTTGAACATCAGTTCAGCTGGCCCCCTGCTCCCGGACCTCTTCCTACTCAGGTGATGCAGGACGAGCCATGGACGGTTAGTTTAGAGCCTCCTTCGGAGGCCGAGGTCCGAAACGCGATCACAGCCCTCAATCGTTTTCGTGCCGCTGGCCCGGATTCCCTCCCACCTGCACTATTTAAGAATGGAGGTGAGGTCCTCTGCAAAGCACTGACCTCCCTATTCGAACGTATCTGGAACGAAGACAGTGTGCCAGCTAATTGGAGCGAACCGATTATAGTGGCAATATACAAGAAGTGCAGTCGCACAGACTGTGCGAACCACAGGGGTATTAGCCTAACGCCAGTTGTGACAAAATTACTGGCCTCGATTATCGTTCGTCGCCTCACTGCAGAACGGGAATCTCGGATTAGGGAAGAGCAGGTCGGTTTTCGCCCAGGACGTGGCTGTATAGACCATATATTTACTTTGCGGCAGGTGCTAGAGCAGCACCACGCATACCGCAGCCCGACAATAGCTGTGTTCCTCGATTTCAAGAGTGCGTTCGATTCAGTCGATCGATCGATTCTGTTTGAAATACTTGCGCGGAAAGGTGTTCCCACGAAATATGTGAACATCCTTCGTGCTCTATACTCGAACACTACAGGCCGCGTCAGGGTCTATGGTGTCCTATCGGATAGCTTTTCGACTACAAGTGGCGTTCGACAGGGTTGTCCGATTTCCCCATTTTCGTTCAATTTCGTCGTGGATTCTATCATGGAGTGTTCCCATGCGGAATCTCACGATGGCGAAAGTCGGCGCAGACATGATCTAGCTGGTGGGCCGTTAGTCCGAATACGATGCGTAACTTGAAATGCCACGAGCAGAGTTGCGTCCATTGGCTGAATAAATTTAGGGTAATGAGTGTAACGTTAAGCGTAACCGGGAGAGGTCTGTGGGGGAACGGACAAGGGTAACGGCTGAGGTGCTAGTATTGGTGCCAGTGACGCTGAGCGTTATTGCGGAGTCGACTATCCTCGCTTGTTTCGCATCAACCAAGATGTTGAAATGTCTAAGTTTATGCAGATGATGAACAACCCGTAGCCTTAATGATCACAAGCCTACTTTGTGACCCAAATGCGCGGGTCCGAGTCTGCGTAGGGGACCAGGTAACCCTCCCAATATCCCTAGCCCACGTGCAAATGGTGTTGATTGCGTGGCAACGAAGCACCGTTACAATGTCCCGGCGTACGGATGATGCCTTGCTTGATGATGGGAAGAAGAACGGCGGCAATAATGATCACCCAGCAAAGTGTACTGCGGATCTAAGTTAATGATTAAAGTGCGTTGGCCGTAAGTATGCATGAGCGTGCCGTTGGCGGTATGAGGACTGAGAGTTGACGGCTGAGTTGACTTCACAGCTGCGGGAGAAACTACGATTCATTCAGCCCTGGCACCAACCAGGAACGTGGTTCCTTATTTGCTGTCCCCAACATAAAGTAGGTTACTGCCGGACATGTGGTTGGTTACGTTATTAATACGTAATTGGGAGCTTGGAGGGTTCCCCGATTGAGTTGACGAAATGGTGCAAGACGCAATACAGCGTTTCTCATGAGGGCCAAGGCGACAATGAAACCAGCATAGTTCATTGCGTGGCAAGCTGCTGGGCCTGACTGACTTGCTCTTATGTAGCGGCGACTTATTTAGTGGTAAATTGAAACTGGGATCGCTGCGTGATGCTTCTATTTCATTAAACACTACTGTAAGCTCCGACGGATTTGAAGTAGGTTGCATGACACCTGCAGTAGGTGGCTGGCGAGACGTATTAGAGCCGCATGGCAGATGTACAGCATGCGGCCTGGTGCAAACTACTTGTTCAAGGTAATCTATGCTCGCATTGTTGTGAACGCGATGGGCGTACAAGTGGTTTGCTAAACAATGAATGCCTAGTTTAAAAAAACGAACATAGGAACGCGAGTCCGATTTGCACAGGACATCCGCAGCAGCTTTCCGGAGCGATGCGAAGTTGCAACCTTTCATTCATCGAGCATCTGTTTATA